ACCTTCAACACACAGTAATGACTAAAATCCAACGCATTCAAGCTAATTTTGAGTTATAGAAATACTTTTTATCTTAATAATTATTTTTTGTCATTTTAGGAATGTTGATTTATCTTCATTAATCATGACTAGTATAAACAGTTGTAAGTATTTGACAGCCCTAGTTGTATATCATGTTGAGTAAATGTATATTCAGTATACAGCCACATCATGTGATCATCTTTTGTGTTTGCACAACAAAACAAACAGAAAGCTGCTGATTTGTTTACATGAACGAACTCATGCTTTTCACATCAGCACTTTGTATTCATGGTTCACAAGTGAAAGGGAAATAAGTAGCAAATTATGACCTGTGAATTAGTCTGGTCTGAGCTCGGCCGGTCTGAAACTGTACGTGTTAAAAAATAAAATCCAAGAACTGCAACAGTTGGTTATGTAGCATGACTGTCATGTGGTACATTGTTCTTATTTCTAATTGGTGGTGAACTTTAGCAACCAAGGTATTAGCGACACAATGGAAAGTGTTATTTGTAGATTAGTCTGAAAGTCAGACACACTTCAGGCTTAGGTGGAGTTTTATTTATTTATTTATTATGTATGCATTTATGTACTGTTGGTCACGGTCCAAATGCCTCATGCACTTATACTGTTGGTCACGGTCCAAATGCCTCTAATAATAATAATAATAATAATAATAATAATAATGTGGACTTATACAGAGCCTTTGAGAATACCCAGGGTGCTCTGTTAGATCGATGGCTTTTGCTTCTTTCTAATGAGTGGAGCTTCGTAGCTGCTGTCTTTGAGGAAGAAGTCGACACAGAATTGTTACCCAGCAGCTTTACCTATTTGTCTGACAGGAGCAGTGGTCTGCAGTTCACTGGGCCTAGGAGGGCGGGGAGGTTTTTTTTTGGTGCTTGTTCAACACACCACACGTCAGATCCTTTAACCACCTGTTTTCCCACCAGTTTGTCTTTTCTGATACATGGTGTTGCCTTTATTTGAGAAGAAGCTCCAGCTTAGGAAAACAACCGTGTCAAAACGCAAAAGCCAGTTCCTGCGGAAATCTGAGGTTCCAATCCCTCGTCTCGAGAGCTTCCTGCTTTGGACCGACAGGAAGTGGACCATTTTGATCCGTCTTTCAGCTGCTCGTTTTTTTCAGCTGACAATTGCATGATTTACAGCTGCAACTGCACGCTGCAGACTCGGGTTCATCTCACATTCTTGGTCACGTCGTCCAAGTGAAGTTGTCAGACGGCCAGGCTTCAGATTTTCAGCTTCTCAGCTGGCTGTGGCCATCAAGTTGGTGGAGCACTTGGTGTAGAACCCTTGGTGGTGCTCTCTCTCTCTCTCTTTCTCTCTCTCTCTCTCACACACATACCCCTTGATTAAACACACCCAAATTAACTATGTCAGCCGTGCCTGTTCCTCAGCAGCTGAGCACTTAAACCTGTTGCGTTCTCAGCTCCGTAATGTGTTTGTTCAGGGGGAGAAACTTCTTGGATGAGTTTGTCTTTGAGGGGAAACTTTATATTCTAAGAGTGTTTCAACTCCTAATTCACGTCTCAACGCTTTTCTGACAATATGCAACACTCCAGTGTGTTGTGTTTTATTTTATTTTTCTCCTTTCATCTAATCACTTAAAAAAAACCCAAAATGTACAAAAAATAGTTTTTGTGCCACAGTTTTGAGAGCCAAAATATATCTCTATAATTAAGTTAAGTGATAGCTTCTCATCTTAAGCATTTAAAATAACAATTAAGCTAATTCTTATTATTATAACAACAGCTATAATTATACCAATTATGATTACTTTTGTTTCTTTGACATGCCCTACAGGAGCAAAGGGGGTTCAGGACCCGTGTGGTCACAGACGGTACTGCAGTAGTGTCATTATATATTTAATTGATCTCTAACTTCTTGTTGTGTTGGTTTGGGGGAAGTCTGACAATTTAAGGCAAGTCCAGACTAGTCCAGACATAAAGAGACTAATGCCATTGGAAACCTTTTGTAACATTGCTGCCACCACCTGGTCATTTTAATAACGTTCTCAGTTCTGTTTACTAAGAAGATAAATGTGTAAAAATATTGTTTTTGTTTTTTGTTTAGTTTTGGAGCCACATTGTTGTAACTCTTACACCTTCTCCGGCAGACACAGTTTTTTAATATATTGAAAAATGGAAATATTTTTAGATAAAGTAAATTTAAGAGTCATTTCCTTCAAGTCAGTACATATCCTGAACTCCTTCAGGGAGAATGAAGACACCTGGGTTTGGTCTCAACAAGCTCCACCCTGGGCAGTATGCTTCCACCTGGAGCCCCGGGCTCACTGACTCTACGGATCTAAGACGCCGTGTTTTTGTTTTTGTCTTTTTATACCCACATTGTGAATCTAACCAGAATCTTACAGTCTTGTTGACCAGTATTGAATTTGTTGCCAAGCAATTTCAGCCAATAGAAAACCCAGCTGGGAAGCATTTGAGCCTGGAGGGACTTTAGTCAACAAGATAGATAGCTCTGTTTCGAGTTAGGGTCCCCCCCCCCACCCCTTCCTGTCATCACACACCAACCCCCCCACCCTGAAAGCCAAATACTTGGGCTGCATCTTAAAGCAAACAGTTAAGGTCCAACAGTTTCCTTGGTGCTCTCAGCCATCCTAATGGGACTCCATTTTTGTTTTCTACCCAGTTTCCTCTGAGTGCCACTAGAGGTCACAGGCTGGGCCTCAGTGTCTTTGTTTCACACTATAATGGCTCCATTCTCCCAAAGCAGCAGAGACTTCCAAGCCTGTTAGACATAGGACACCATTGTGACTCGCAGAGGTGGTAACATGAGGAAAATGAACAGAAGGATGAGAGTGTTCATGGGTGTAACTACTGTTTAATGTTGAAATATTAACTAGTTCACACAGCGCATGTTAATAATTGAAGTTTGAAGCCGTGACCAAAACATGTGTTAGAAAAAGAACTGCACGGCGGCACTGGCTTCCCTCTGGCTTTTATTAATTCCTGTTACCCCCTAATAACGTGTCCCTAACTCAATTGGCAGACCACAAAATGTCCATTCACTTTGAGGTTCCGCGAGAAACAAAGAGGAAAAACAACTTCTCCAGAGTGAGATCACTGTAACGCCCAAACCAGAGAGAAACAAAAGCTGCTCACAGGGAAGTTCCTGTTAGTGTCCATCCTTAACATCCTAGTGTGTTCAGTTTTAGAAGAGGCTGCGCTCCTCATTAATCAGGAAGGCACTGTCTGTCCCTGCACTTATCAACACACAGAGATAGAGATAGAGAGATAGATAGGGTGTTACTGATGAATGATGAGTTAAAAAAATTTGATTGACTCGTTTGTGCATCAATAACTGTGACCACGTGGCCATATTGCTAACTTAATAGCAGCTGCTATGATAAAAATATTATATATCTGTGGTTACAAAAATTACAACTGACAAATTTCTTAATCGCTACATGATGCAGGGAATTGAACACCTGACTCATTCACACACTACCTTTTATTTCTGAAACTGACGGTGTGTCAGTTTGGAGCTAATCAGTCGCCTCCCTCCACCCACGTCAATAAAGGTTCATTTTGCACCTTTCTGATTGGTTCCTCAGCTGTGCTTGTCTTCTAAAATGAATGCTGAAGATGCCAGTTTGTCTTTTGTTTCAGCGCTGCAGAGAGGACACTACGTTTGTCATAAATGGAAAGGAAAGATGTTCCCAGAAAACACTTTCCACGCGCTGTCATTTTTTCCGAGCGTAGTCATTCTTGACACAAAGCACAACACACAGCCCTGTGTCTCGCAGAGTTAAAAAAAAAAAGCATGACATTGTCATGTTTCAGTGTAGAAAATTGAGTTAGGGCGGGGAAAGGTTAACTTGAGGGAAATGTAGACAGGAGAGGTAAAAAGAAGGAATCTGGCAAGGAGCAGAACACAAAGACAAGCCCCTTGTGTTCATGACTGTTTGGCTTCAGTCAAAAACGTGAGTGAGATGTAATCGGATCTCCACTGTGGTGAGCTCATGGACGAGGCCTACCAGCACACTCACAAAGAGCAGTCCACCCATGAGCCCTCTGTGGCTCTCTGCTGGCCGGCCACTTAAAATATCATTTGTAATTTTTTATGAGTTCTAGATGGTTTCACCAGAGCAGTTAGGACGACAGTTCTTCAATTCAGAAGTAGATATAAGTTACTGTGGTGAACAAAGAAGAAGAAAACAATTATCAGTTTTTGTTTACAAAATTATCCCCCTCCCCTGTTTGAAGGAGGGGCAATAAATGCAGTAACAATCTATTCCACAGGTAGAGGGCGATGTTGGAATCATCTTCCAACTTGGTCATAATGATGACTACTGGGTGTAAAAGATAACATGTTGGGACAGACACATTTAAGACAGTGGTCATTCATCAGTGTACTCCAGCGCAGAGCTACTGCTCGTTTGTAGGGCTGTACACTTTCATTAAAGTTACATTCTATTTTCTGTTTTTTTTAATAAAAAATATTTGAATACTTTTCAAGTGTTGTTTTATACTGGGTGCTAATGCCCACCTTTAAATAACTTTATTTCCACTAAAAGAGTTACCCAATCACCTGGAGCAGAATCGTGCACTCCATACAGAACAGCTGAAATAATGTCATTGTAATTGTGTTGTAAACTGATGGGTTTGACATGTGACCGATCGCTGACCTCCTGTCAGAGTTTATGACCGTTGAATGTGTGAGGGGATCAGGCAGCTCGGGCTGCAGGCACATGGATTAAAGTGAGTGAAAGAAATACTTGTGTTTATGCCCAAACGTTTGGGGTTGCACTGAGTTGCACCGTGATAAATTTGTGACAGCTGCGAACACAGATCAGCCAGAAGGAAGTTAGAGTTGACCGGTGGTTCTCAGGTTGTAACACCAGAAATCCTTTCTTTCCCACACAAGTCTGAATAATCTACAGCCTTTCTAAGTTGACTGAAATTCACAGACTCTTTGTCTTTCCTCTCTCTGTCTCTCAGGTGAACTGCACTGATGGACTTGAGATAGCGTCAGCAGAAGTTTTACCTCAGACACCAACGTCGGACGACCCCACACCCCAACAGATTCAGCCGCTATGGCAGATCCGACTGGGTTGAGCCCCGAGGGGACGGGAGCAGGAACAGTCGAGGTCGACTGCAGTTTGGAGATTGAGAGGAAGTATGACATCATCCCTGCTGTCATCTGCTCCATGTGTTGCCTCTTTGGCATCATCTACTGCTTCTTTGGTGAGGACAATCAAGCGTGTTCAAACATGAGCTGACGTTCCACAGTGAAAGAGTCGACTTTTTATTGCATATATATGTCGGCTAGGATGCAGCCTATGTATTTGCACATTATACCAAATACCAATACATTTATAGATAAACAAAATACAATTTAAAAATAAAGATAATGAACAGAACGTTAGCTGAGCTAGTGCGCTAGTAGCTCAAATTACTAGTAAGTTAGTCTCGCAATTGGTGATTCTGTGTTAGTGTTTTATCATAGTGGAATGCAATAATGTATAAAAAATGTTTTTGTGTCACTGTGTCACTACATTACAGAACATAATTCTGATTGTAACTCAGGGTTGTCACCTCTCTCGTGCCTCCATCTACAGGTTACCGCTGTTTCAAGGCCGTCATGTTTCTCTCAGGCCTCATGTTTGGCTCCATCATCATTTTCTTGCTGTGCCACAAAGAGCACGTGCTGGACACCCAGCTGAGCGTGGAGGCCAGCGCCGGGATCGGCCTCGGCATTGGCCTGCTCTGCGGTCTGGTCACCATGCTGGTGCGAAGCGTGGGTCTCTTCATGACCGGTCTGCTGTTAGGTCTCCTCCTGGCCCTCGCTGCTCTGCTGGTCACTCATCAGTTCTACACTCCGACCACAGTCTGGGTGCCGCTGGGTGTTCTTCTGGGAACGGGCATGCTGTTCGCCGTGCTGACGCTGCAGTGGCAGAAATTCTTCACCATCCTCTCCACGGCCGTGTTCGGGGCGGCCATCATGACGGTGTGTGCTGACTACTTTGTGGAGATGCTGGCCCTGGTCACACATGTGTACGAATGTCTGCGCCTCACGCCTGGGCCTCCTCTCTGCTGGTACAGCTGGGTCATTCTGGGGATCTGGCCTGCCCTCAGCCTCATTGGAGTGCTGGTGCAGTGCAAACTGACTGGAGACAACTTCTCACACACTGACGGTAAGAATCAAATATCAGTGAACTTTGAATCTACTGCAGGCATCACCAACGGCCTCATGAAGTATTGTATTTTCCGGACTCTCCAAGTCAGTAATTATCGACTAATTGACTGAAAAACTGACTCAATCAGTGTGACCGTCAGGTCCTTAGGGTCAAAGGCCTTGCACCTTTAAACCTCTCTCACTCCTTATTGCATCATTTATTTTTCAGTTGTCATTAGTCGGCGACAGAAGAGAGTCCAGCTGATGCGGATTCGGGAGAAGGACGCCAAGAAGCGACAGCAGGCAGGTGGGCAGGAAGGCACATACCGCCGTAAAGCCACCCCAGTGAAACGTTACGCTGGGGATCTACTGGCGCCGGTCAGTGTCACCCAAAGTGACGTGTGCTGTAGTTGCTGATTTTTGTCATTGTTAACCGTAAGACTAAAGTAGTGAAAACATGCATGTGTTTTACTAGAGAATATCTTGTACGTTTTATAGCTCATCTATCTTCATTTGTGTTTTTTTTTTAATAGAGCTACCTGCAAAGTCTGCGGGACAGACAGATGGGCACAGGAACTTCCCTTAGCAGCTTGGGCACCGCCAACCACACCATGATCGACCTGGAGTACGACACGGGCTCCACCGTGCCCCTCACAGCCACAACACCAGTCGTCAGGGTCTGAGCCACGAGGAGATGAGAAAGAACTGAAGAACGCTCTCTGGAACGCCACTGAGTCTCCTCGAAGGAGAGCAGAACACCAACTGCTCAGACTGACTCCTAGCAAGGATGCTACAATGCTGGGGGAAAACCATTGCTGCTTTTTTGGTGTTGAGAAGGACCATGTGTCAGACCCCAGCTTTGAAAATAGTACAACCACTAAAACCACTTTGTTTCTCACAGAAACATTTAAAAACAACAGACGCTGACAGAGTGAGGTCCATAGTTTCCCTTCAATCATGTACTGAGTCCACAAACAGCAAAATTGAGCCTTAAAAAAAACTCATCGCTCATCTCTTTTGGTAGTGAATATGACAAATCAGTGTGTTTGACATTTTACACGTACTGTACTTTAAAGAGTTAGTCGCCATGAAGTGTTTTGTTTTGTACCTGACTGTTTAACTGTGTGGCCGTAGGATTGATCATTTTAAACTTTTTTTTTTTTTTTAGATAACGTGCTGTGAGACAAAGTGAAGTAAAACTAATAAACCTTTTAAATTCAAGAGATTTTAAAGCAGTTTTCCAGCAGTACTCAGAAATCCTGTGACTTTTTTTTTAGTGTTATGCAGTTTAGCAGAATACAGAGAGATGGAGAAGTTGGCCTTTGACTGTGGATTAAAATGTTTTATTTATTTCATGTATTAGCCATGTACTTGATAGAGTTTCAAAAAAGGTAAAACTAAAAAACACGGCATGTTTTTATGTATTTGTAGATTTTTGTCCCACTTGACTGTTGTCTTTTTGTCTCACAGGAACACTGCACTTGTTGCCTGGATTTGTACAAAGCTGTTGATACGATTTTAAAGATGAATAAATGTGTTTGATATAAAACCAGACGTATTGAGTCACTGCTTCAGTCTGATCAGGTCACTGTTTGTCTCCTCCAGCTCTTAGCAACAGCCACAAGATTACTGCCTCACTTTTCCAATAAAGAGCACGTGAGGAGGATTTCCTGCTCTGTGATTGGTTGGAGTTGCCAGGGTCCAACAACACAAATACCATTTTCAGTACTTGTACATTCACAATGCTATCGTTCCGAGTACTTAATGTTTCATATTCTTCACCATGACAACGTGACGAGTGTTTACTGAAAAAACAAAACTTTATTTATGAAAATAATAATGAATTGTGTTTCAGTGTAAAGTTATGTAAAAGTTGAGAAACAAATTCAATTGTTTTTTTCAGTGTAAAAAAAAGTTGAGAAACAAATTCAATTGTTTTGTCACACTGTCAATACATTTATAGACGATTGTAAAGGAATTTTTTCCCTCCATATTATTTCCTTAAATTTATTTAGGTTTTATTTAACTTTTTTTATTTTTTTGCAACGTGTTCCTTTCTTATTTATGGAAATGTAATTTTTGTATCGTGTTCCTTTCTTATTTATGGAAATGTAACCGGACATTATAATTACCACAACAATCTACAAACAATGTTCAGTGTTTTCTGATTAGCATCAGAAGCGTCATTAATAACGACAGAATAGCGGAATAGCTGATCAGACTAAGAGAACGAGTTTAACAAAATGTAACAGTCGTCCAGAACTCTGCCATAATCAAATGTCATGTTTCTGGAAGCATTTAGTCACATAATCCATCACATATGTTAGAGAGAAAAACAAAACGCCTCTCCTGGTTTCTCCCTGAGATCGTAAACTCGGGTTTAGAAAATTATGGTTGTCACAAAAACACGTATATGTTCAGGAAACAAACCTCACAATAAGAGGCAGAACCAGAGATAAAACCTTCCCCGGTATCCTCCAACGTTCGATTACATTTTACATATGATCACTGTTCTTGAGGTTGGTAAGTTGTCACTGTTCCCAGAGTGGAACTAGAGGCGCTGCTGTCGACCTCTTAGCACTTGCTGCCCCCTAATGGTTGACTATTAGCATCGCATCCAACGCTCCTTTTTGCTGAGTGGGTATCCTCTGTCCACCTGCAGCAGCGCGTTCATTCTCCAGTACTTATCTCCTTTAAAGAAGAAGATCTTCCCATTGGTCCAAGTAAGGGCGGCGTCCACGGAGGACCGCAGCCCGGTGAAGAGCATGGACAGAGGCTTGGGGTACGAGCTTAAGTTGTTGTACATCACTTCATCCCACTGCCAGTGCTGTGAACCCTGAAAAGACACACAGTAAACATCGGGACATTAAACCAGTGGTAGTTCAAAGCCGTGGCTACTGAAAATGTTTCTGTACATCGAAACGAATGGGCTATAGATACCTTAATGAAGACCAGCTTTTTGTTCTTCTCCAGGTACAAAGCTGCATCGATATTAGGAGGAATCCGTTTCAACTGTTTGGGGTAGCCGTAGTCCAGCTGGAACCTGGTGTACCTCCACACTCTGTTTCCTGTGACACAGTCAAACTTTAACACAACGTTCAGCAGTGTTTACGTGAAGTGCTTCACACTGACTGTACCTTTAAAGAAATAGGTCTTGTTGGTTCTCTGTGAGGTCACAGCAGCGTTCAGGTTCCCAGGGAGTTCAGCCCATAACCTGTCGATCTTTATTGGTTTGTGGTGGCCCATATCAGTGATGGTCCACACGTATTCTCCACTGAAGGCAAACGTTTTCCTCCAAGGTCCTGAGTCAACAAACACAATGGAACAGGAGTTTTACCTGTAACACATTTTGCAACAGTCCGATACAGACCTCACACAACCGCACACTCAGCCCAGTTGAGTCAGACCATGACTCACCTAACATGATGGCGTCCAGTGTGGCCGTGCAGGGGTCAGGGATGAGGTCAGGGCCACTGCTGCTCTCTGTGGGTAACAGACTCTCTGGTGTAGTTGGACTGGCTAAAGTGCTGGTGATGCGTTTCCCTTCAAAACACACAAGTTACAACTTTGAGCATCAAAACTCTCTGTTTTTGTACACAGTACAGAGGAATATATGTGAAAGAAGAATGTGTTAAAAATGTAGTTTGGCTTTTGTACACTTTTAACATACTTGTTTACACAGTACAGAGGGAGATGTTGATATGTGAAAGAAGAATGTGTTAAAAATAAAATATAACTCATTATATATATCTCTATATTGTATATATGCTACAACTTTCGCTGTGTACTGGTGGTTGCTCCCGTTACGTGACAGCGGTGCCATTTACCGCGCTACCGGTCCGTGCATGCGCAAACGGGCCGTACTGCAGCTCAGCCAGTGATTGGGTGATGTCAGCGTTTATTAGTTTATTAGTTTTCAGTATCTTTNNNGACGCTCTTGCCACCTGGGTCATATTTCATACGAAAACCAAAGTAGCTCCGAACGTCAGATCTGAAGGACAGAGGATGATCATGGATTTCGGGTACATTTGGGGCATTAGCCATGTTGAAACGAGCTAGCTTCGCATGTAGCAGCTACCGAAAATACCGAACGGTACACCTGTGTAACCACGTGGTTTCTAGCGTGTCAAAGAGAGACCGCAGGTCTCCTGCTGCATGACCAGAGGTTTTATCTTCTGGGCTTTTCTAAGATGTGAGGAGCTACTACGGGTAGGTGAAACTTGTCCATGGTCTTTAGGAGAAAATTACATGTTACAAAGTGCAGCGAGTTCACTGGAACAACTGGGTCTGAACCCTGGTCACTATGATCAGACTCTTATTGCCTGTAGGAATGAATGAAATGTCAGCTAACATGTTCAGTTACATACCAACTGTCAGAGTAATAACAGTCTGCTCACCATACAGAACTTGGATACCATTCACATCATCTGAATGCAGCCTGAAGTTGGCACGGTAACCAGAGTAGACCGGTGCCATCAGAGCACTTCTGTACTGAGAGTGACCCAGACCAAGGGCATGGCCTATTTCGTGGGCGGCTACAATACGCAGGTTGGTTCCATAGTAAGATCCCTCTGTCCACACCTCATCTTCATCAAAGTGAACGATACCAGACTCTGGTGACTCAGCATGGGCCAGAACGTGACCTAGAAATGGGGCAAATACTGTAAGTGTGAGTCTGGGTCCACGTGTCACCAGTGAAATCAGAGAACAACGTTCATGAAGAACACTCACCACGACCGTCAAATGGAACAGGACAGAAGCCGTCTTTCTTGTGGAAGGAGATTTTTATGTCCGCGCGGCCGTAGTCCAGCTCTCTGAAGGTCAGAGCTGCCACATCGCTCCAGTACTTGAAGGCAGAACGAATGGCTGCCTTGACGTCTGCCTGCTTCATGTCAGGTGTGTAGTTGTAGATACGATAGGTCAGACTCCTCTTTCTCCAACGACCTGAAGTGATAGTGATTTTTTTTCATACATTTTAATGATTAATTACAGTGTGTCTCTAAATTGGACAAAAATGTTTTCTTTTGCATATTTCTTAAATATCTTTCTCACCTGGTTTTGTGACTCATTTAAATGTTGAAATTATTAATATAAACAAATTGAGAACAATATGCAGAAGTATAACAAAAATGATCTACAATGTAGAATGTGTCTAGAGTTGCTTTCACATCAGTGAAGCCGTTGACCTCAGCGAGTCAGCTGTAGACTAACGTGAGGCTGCTCTGACAGGAGCCTGACATCTGACCTGACCTTGAAGCCTCCACAAATGCATGCTAATGCACGTGTTAAGAAATGCATCTTTAAAACTACTTGCTCTGTATAAACACAATTGAAAATTATTTTCATATAGTTCTATTTCATATTGAGGGGCTTAAATGATAAAGACTCACCCATCACTCTGTATCTGTTGAACTTTTTATTAAAAGGGTCTGCCAGGCCACAGCGAGGCTGTCGCATCACGTCCAGCGTGGCTTCATCTAATTCTCCAGTAGGTGGCAGGTCATTCACCTTCTGAAACACCCTGCAGAGCGACCAGGAGTCAGTAGTAACATTTCAACCACTTCTGTGGAGGTCTAGTGTGTACTGTGACTTTCTGTGTGTGTTGTGAGTTCCCTGGTCCTGACCTGAGAGCACTAATGACCTCTTCCAGGTAGTGAGGGTCCTGTTGGACAGCGCTGTTGTCAAGGTAACCGTACTGCTTTAGGTAGGCCTGTAATAAATAAATAAATAAACAACAGTAAATTAACCACCATCATTTTCTATATTTGCAGGATGAATTTTCGTACCTCAGCTTCTATCAGCTCTGTCCACTGCACCACCGCTGCACTGAAGGCTCCCTTGAGGTTGAGCACCAGCAGCAGTACCAGCAGCTCTGCACAGTCCATGGTAACTCTAGAATCTGTGTTTCTGTCTCTAACATCCAGAGTTTATGTTTAAAAGCTGGAGAGGAGCTCGGCTGAATCCCACAGCAGACTGCCTGGACTCTGTGAGCCGTGAGTGGTTTTAACTCGGCCCGGAGCATGAGTCACTCCTGTGGCTACGATGAGCCACCTCTGAAGAATGAGGATTACAGGAGCAGCCAGTTGATCTCCAGCCAACATGTCTGCTGGCGAGTTGTGCAGTTGTTCAGAAGGGACATGGATCTCCAGCAGTAGTCTACACAGAAGATTCTATGTACAGTATTTTAAAGTACTGACCTAGTTTTGACCTAGAGTAAACATTAACTATCCTCTTTAAGTTTTGGTGTCGACCTTTGATGAATTAATCATATTAATATTTAATAGGATTTATTGTTTGTTTTTGTTTTTCTTATTCAACAGAGATCCACCTACTGTATCCACTGGGTATTTGTGTGTTTAAACCACAGCGGGTTTATCTCCACGCCCTTCATCTTCAAATTCCGGATATCCCACAGTTGTGTTGCTTTGATTGCAAAAACATCTGTTATAGTCTAACACACACACATATGTGTGTCTATATATATATATATATATACATATATTAATTTACAGTTGTCAGTCACTGTTGCTATAGTTCCTGTTTTATGGGAGTTACATAAATGTCTGATTACTTGAATTAAACATTAGTCACTGTTATTCACAGTGAGTCTGTTTTTAAACTTTGTGGAACCATCAGCCAGGCTGTGACTGGGGGCAGCTTTTGTTTCCTCTTTTCACCCATTTTTTGTTTTTGTGTATCAGCTAATCTTGTGCTAAAAATGGAAAAGCAAATTTTCTCTTGGTCCAGGATGTGATTATACTACAGGAGATTTTTTTAATGTTGTGACCTGACACATGTACAAACCTAATTTACTGTAATACACCTAGGATACACACTTTTGGAGCTTATCGGTATACTGTCTACCAAATTCAGACCCTGATATATACTTTTTTTCTTCTTGACGTCTTCTTATATTTTTTACCCATGCAGATGCACAACATTTCACAGTTATTTTTTCAAGATTGCAGATTTACAGAAAAGAAAAATGTAAAATGGTTTTAACAAGGATTGCACTACTTGGATGTGTTCTTTGAGACATTTTGTAGCTTTCTTAAAGGCCTGCCCTATTTACATGTTGATCTGGATATAAAAAAAAAGAAGATTCCTGTACATTTTGTTTTCATGACTACAAACGTAAGACTACTGCCTTGGTATGGAGTGAGTTTGAGTATACGTGCAGTAGTATTGGTTGGTGAAACAGCTGCTTTCCAGATGTCAGTGCATGGTTGGCATCATATGGCCTCAGTGATACCTACAGACAAGACAACAACAGCGACAGTTTGTCTTTTTGTTCCAGCTGCACAGGTTGAGTCCAACAGTTTCCAGCAGCCGCTCCTCCTTTGTCTTTTCTTTGAAACAGTGTGATTTCACACACACACACACACACACATCAGTCTATCTCTGACACAGGCAGAAGTCAAACCAAGAGTCAGCTTCCTCTATTCCTGTCATTTTATGACCTCAACATTATAACAAGGAGACAGAAAAGGAAGTGAAATAAGGCCACTGAGCAAAAGTTCAAAGCGATGATTCTTGACCACATGGAAGTGAAAAATGTAATGATTAAAATGGACAACTGTTTGACTATTTATTGACTAATAGTTCAATACAATCACACAGGAAGTTTACTGAAATGGCACACAGATGTCAGCAGAGGGAGAAACAGACAACACCATATTAAAGATGTTTTTTTTTTTTATCTCTTCTCAAATCCACGTCTAACACCATAAACCATTTGTTAACAAATATAACTTCTGCCAAATGTTCAGATTATTTTTTCAAACCTTTGTATAAAAGAATTTCCCTACGGGGATTGATAAAGTAATTCTGATTCTGATTTCCGGATGTGGAGAGATGATTCAGCAGTGAGCCCAAATAGTTATTTTGGAAAATGGATTATTATTGGTAGAGATAATGTGGTGAATCATGAGACGTGAATCATGTCACAATGCGGTTGAAACATCGCCATATACAGGCCTGGCATATGTACTACAGGGACCGGAGTCGTATTTAAATTTGCTCTTAGACGCAGATTTTGTTTGTGGGCTGTTCCTTCAGATATGCATGTGTACAAATGGAAACCCGCGTGAATACGCCCATAAAATGCATCTAAACTATGCCTAAATGTCTTCTTATTAACGAGTCTTCGTCACCTTCATCCTCCTGCAACTTCAATGCACCGCAATCAGTGTTTTTCCGGTGTACTTACGTCACATAGAGGCGACAGAACAGGCAAAGAAAAAGAAAAACAAACAAACAAAACGGTAGCGGCGTGTGACGTCAGACGCCGAAAAAGTTTGCTTTTAAAAGCCACAAGTGTACGAAGGTTTAGCTAAATGACGGCTCGACCTGGTCCGGATGGAGATTCAGAGAGAAACGGTAAGATACGTTGGGTTTTTATTCCTACTGTTTTGACTCACTGTATAAATTTAGCTAAATAGCTAAGACTTCACCTAAAGTTGAAGAAACGTTTTTATGTATTTGTTGTTTTGCTGAAACAACAAAAAATGTTTTAATGTATTTGTTGTTTTGCTGAAACAACAAAATGGCTGACCTGATCAAAATGTTTTTACTCATTGAATCATATTCGTTCCATTTTAGTGTTTAAAGTACAAGTTCAGTGTCTTCTACATTAAATTTCTAGTAGAAACTACTTATGTTACTAAACTGTATAAACTGAACTTGCATTCATTAAAATGAACAGATTCGTTGGGAGTTCTGCGCACGGAGACCAGGTCGAAGTTGTCCAGTGTCAGAGTACACACCTGAAACTGAAAGACAAGGTAAGAGTCAAACATGGGATTTTATTTAATAGGTAGTAGTTAATAAATAGTAGTAGTTATTTGACAAATGTGCTAACTTCACAGCCTAACATGACTCTTCTCTGACTTGGGTTTATTTTCAGATTGGTCATCCTGAAGATCTTCAACACAGTAAGGAGCACTGTTTTTTAATTGTTATTGCTACTCAAACATATTGTTTCTCACCTCTGAGGACAACGTTAGCTCAGATTGAACTACAAAGATGCCTTGTTTTGGCTGGTGTCTAGTTATGGGTACAGTGCCATTATTGCGCCTCCTCCTGGCTGTGGTGCCTGCCTGTCTCCTGTCCTTTATTATGCAGTGTGGCCCTTAACTAGTCTAGTTATTTATATTCTAGTTCACTGGCAGTTTATATAATTGAACATTTCATAATTTTGTGTCGTCATCTTTGCGGTCCTACAATTTTGAACATTGCGATCATTAGCCTAGTGCATGGCTGGACCAGCGGCTTCCTTTCATTTTTGAATGAAGGGATTGACCTGTCTTCATTTCCTCCTCCTCTGTAACTTAAGATTAAGGAATTAAAAAAAGACAAAATGTTCACCTTTGTTTTTCATGAAACTTGATGGCTTCAGTGTTGGTCACGTCTGCTGTTATAGATGTGATCTCACCCGTTTACTAAAAAAAGTCACAAAATAAGATACCGCTGCTGCAGGAGCTCCGCCTCCTCAGAGGTCGGGCCGATGGTGGGTGTCCCTTATTTTCATTACTGGAAGGTTGCAACCTTAGCTGTACAATATTTATAACAGAAGCATCCTGGTCTAAACACAGTCAGCAAAATAAAACAGTTCTAATGTCCACGTCAAGTTATTTTATAACATTATTTTACTGCATTCTCTGGTTAACACGGGTTTAGTCATTTATGAGTCAAAGACGAATCACAGCCTAAAAAAAAACTCCCAGGAAGTCGGATCCCAAGAGACGCATAAACAAATGCCTGAAAAGAAATGTTTTATTTAAACCTAAATCACAGAGGTTTGTCATAGTCATCAGGACAACACAGTCACTCTTTAATCATCTGTTTTGAAATGTTTCACACAAATACAACTACAGGAACACAGCATGTCAACTGATGCATTTATTGTTGATCTAGATAAATGGTTTAATTTCATCTTTTGATCCCACTCAAAGGCTTGTTTTTAATCTTCTGACATCTGTAACTAGTCCTGTCTGACTCAGTCTTTTGTAGAAACATCAAGGCACTGTGTGCAGGACAACTTAAATTTGACTATAATAGCGTGTCAGAAATACACTCAGCAGAGGATCCAGGGCAGACTGTGGGACAACAGGGCCCTCGCCACAGATGTGTGAAGTCCTCCTTCATCTTCCTGTCAGACTGAGAAAACCCAGACTAAAAAGAAATACAGAAACGTAAAACAACTCTGTCCCAGGAGGAAAAAAACAACAAAGACATAATGTGCCGGTTTGAGGTAGAATTCAACAATGGCAGTAATGATATATTAATTATGTTCAACCAACTGTGAACCTTCGTCAGAAACTCCGTTGTTAAAACCAGTCTGGACACACACTGAGCGTCTGAAACAGCAAAACACTTCCACAACAAAAATATCTGCTGCCCCTTATTATCTGTCACTCTACTGTAAACTCATGTGTCCTTTTTAGGATCCTGTAGGGATGATGAAACTGGTTTTCCAGTGCTCTGATTGGCCTGTCGTTGGACTGTTTGCACTTCTCAGAAAGCTGACAGAAAACTTGAAAGTGTGTGCTCTGCACACATCAGGTCAAAATAGTGCAAAAGGAATGCACAGACCTTTGCAACGAGCGAAACCTCACCAACGCCCAGTGTCAAGTCTTCTGGAATATTCCGGTCTTTATTACTTCCAGTTGACCATAAAAATAATAATTAAAAACCAAAGCCTTCATTTAATATGTTTGTAGTTTTGAAATTCTGATCAGCATTTGTCACAGACACATTAACACATGTTAAACACAAATCAACACATAATACAAACAGCAAATAAAGACTCACTGTGTAAAATTTGTGAGACACTGTGAGATTTTAAGACTTGAACAAACTATAAGTCAGAAAATTCAAAGACATGTTTTACCATTTATATATTTATAAGTTGTTATTCCTATATGTCTTGAAACTTTTTGATGTTCTCCTTCATGCTTGAATAAAAAAAGTGAGGTGAAAAATTTCTAACTAAAACTTTACCACTAGATGTCACTACACTCAACACAATGTCATGTTTTATGACCAGGGACAACCAATAAGCAGATCAGGATCTGGCAGTAGATCACAGAGGGAGTGCTGGGAGACCATGAGCAATTAAAATAAAACAAATAAAACCCAAGTGTTATTCTGTAGTAGTGACCATATACTGTAAGAATTAAATCACATTGTGCCATAAAGCTACATGCATTTAATCAGTCCCACAATATAATGTATAAATGAAGCATGGTTAGCTTATTTGAGTAAAGATGAATTGAATTTTCACTGTAGGTAGATCATGTTAGTCTGGTCCTTGTCCCCTCGAGCCCCCGGTTTAGACCTTCACAGTTTTCTGTTTGTTTCAATGTTGTAAACCTCACAAGGGTTACCTGAAAAACCTTGAAGCTTAAAAATGTACAGACTTACAGAGAAAGTAAAAACTTGACTGGTAGACCAAGTTCACACTTTGACTTCTGAATCTAAGAAAGGGTTGAGTCTATTCCTCGTCCTCGTCCTCCGTGATCTTTACCTTCACTCTGTGCCAGGCGTTACTCAGGACTCCCCTCAGGTTCCAGATGGGGGCCACGGTGTCTGGCTGTGTGTTGTAACTATCGTCCACTGCCTTGCAAATGATTTCCAGTTCCTGGGTTTCTGGAGGAATAGGCACCGTCACCTCCCACAGCTTCCAGGCCCAGGCTCGACCTGGTGGAGGTGAGGGTTGGGGTTCCTGCCCCCTGTCACTTGTCCTCAGTTGGGCCACCCGCCATGTTTTTCCTCCATCTAAAGAAACATCCACACGTACCACCTCTCTGCCACCACCGCTCCAGGCGTAGCCTTCCACCGTCACCTCTTCTTCTGAGCGATCGATCACAGCACCCTCTGCTGGTGTGGTAATGGCAGACTGGATGGGCAGCTCCTGAATGGATGGGGCAGACTTGAAGTCAACTGTGTCCCAGTCTGTACCAGGTGAGAAGCCCTTGTAGTCGTTCTGCTGCCAGTGGCTGCTGCTCTCCTCGGAGCTCACTATGATCCTACCTAACCATTTGACATTACGTGCCCCTACCGTACCTGGTACCACCACACGTACAGGAAAGCCGTGGTCGGCAGGGATGTCCTCACCGTTCATTTCGTAAGCCAGCAGCACGTCCCCGTCCTCACTAACTGCCTTGTTCAGAGGGATGGAAGCTCCGTACGAGCTGCCCGTTACATCTTTGTCCATGCCGTCGAACTGAACATGTCGAGCCCACTGGGCCACGTCTGGGCTGTAGCCAGCTGCTAGCAGCACATCCCTGAGTTTAGCTCCGCTCCATGTGGCGTTGCTGATGGCAGCGATGCCCCAGTTCAGTCCCTTCACCTGCTTCACTTTATTCATCTCCGAGCGGCGGTTCCCTGCACACTGCAGTGTGGCGGTGATGGTGTGTTTGGGGAATTTAGTCTTCAGGTCTTCTAAGGAGAGCGTCAGCACTCCTGCAGGCAGTCCCTCCACATGGAGTCGGTACGTTGCTGGATCCACCTGAGGAACAGGCAGATGGTTCCTCTTGAAGAAGATAGCAGAGGGAGTGATGTAGCTGTCAGAGAGGAGCTCAGGAGGAGGCTCAGCGTTGAAAGGTTTGAGGTTGTTGATGTGGAGGACAGGGTGTCGCTCTGGGTCAGTGGAGTACGGGTCAGATGATTTAACAGCATCCTGCTTCTTCTGGTCTTCTGCACGGAGTTCGCCAACCTTGTATCAAACAAGAACACAACATTTTAAAAAACCCAAAACTTTACTTTACTGCTAAATAGTATTTCTCCTGTTTAATAAAACAATGATACAGAAATGATAAAAAATGATACAGAAAACAAAGCTCCATCGTTTAGGACATAAAATAGGGAATGTTCACATCAGCCACTAGAGGGCGCAAAGGTCACTCGACCTTTGTTTAATATTCCGGGATTTTTTTTATGTATTGGTCTAAACCAAAGAAACTGAAACAGAATCAGTCAAAGGGTGTTAAATTACAGTTTAGCATTAGTAATGTTTAGCATTTTTCTGAACACATTTTCCTACACTATCCTTTGCTTTTAATCTTTGCTTGTCGCAGCACTACATCTGCTGAGCGGGGTGTCAGTATTCACTATCTTATCTATGGCTAAGGTTGAAGAATAATCAGCAGTTCAGATTAGGAGAACGGTTGTAACCTGTTGTAAACTTCTGATTAGCTCAAGTTCAACTTCATGCAGATGCAAAACTGAAAGAGATCGTGGACATTTACGGGTTTTAGTGCAGGTCGGAGTTGGATAAGATTTGTTTCTGGTTTGACCAGGTCCAGACTGAACAGCTTAGCAGCTGAATGTGTCACTGTAGTGTAACTCATGTAATTATGACTTTTTTATATTTATTAAGAAAAATAACTTTGTTTATTAACTGTTTATAATTCAAGTCTGGAATTATGTTTAGAATGTGTTTTCTACCTAAAGAGAAGAAGTCAAAACATTCCAGTGGTGAGAACTAAATGTCAACTGCAATTTTTTGCATTCATTAATCTACATATCTAGTCTCCATATCTACATTATAGATATGTCTACCATATCTACATTACTGTGTAGATATGGTAGACTTATGATCTTTGTGATGGACTGTTTTCTGCACTGCATTTTAAGGAGGGGTAGAAATCTTTCTGTAAATATCGGTAATAATTTGTGCGAGAATTCAATTTGGGGGAAAAAAAAGGTTGCATTAATCGTCCCAGAAGTAGTAATTATGATATTATCATGTTGACATGAAGGAGTGACTTTTGACAGAACTGCCAAAGAAATATATATACATAGAGAAAAGTGCAATTTGTCCACAAACTGATGACACAACAACACATGGTGATGTACTGTCCATTTTCTATAGAAGAATCTATTGTTCCACAAACTGATGACACAACAGTCCATTTTCTATAGAAGAATCTATTGTTTTTGTATAATTAATTCATTATCATTTAATCAGAGGCTTCAGTGACTATGATGTATGTTGGGCTGTTATATGTATTTTACTCAGGATATATATTTTTTCTTTTTCTGTTTGTTTTTATGCTTAGATTCATATTACTTCACATTTTTTACTTTATTTATTTACTTTAAATAAATTGGTTTCCCTTTCAGGGAGCAGAATATTTGCTATTCAGATTAAATATGGTAAGTTTTTAGATAAGTCAGAGCACATCAATTCGCAGTATATCAACTATTAACAACATAGGAGATGAGTATTGTAGCAGTAGATACTCATTCACTCAGGTCAAAAACTACAGTGTCAGTTATTGTAAACCCACCAACCTTGTATTCTGAAAGAATCTCCAGCACATGCTCCTGGTTGTGTACAGCATACATAGCCCAAAAGGGTTCAATAGCCCCACCTGCTGCCAACATGATTTTATCTCCACCCGGGTGCTTGTTCACAAACTCTGTGATGTCATAGACGCCACCTTTGTAAGTCACCCACACGCCGTCCTCCAGGGAGCGGTGCTTGGTGACCTCCACCTGGCTGAAGACGGGGAGAGGGGAGGTCTGCTCTGTGGGCTGCCGTCTGCTGCTGTCTGCCCGCTGTGGCTGCAGGAGGACGCAGAAAAACACCAGAGTTACAAACTCACAAATACATGTGTGGAACAGTCATGGGAGAATCCGACCAATCGCAGTGAGGTCGGTCAGTGGTCGCTGTAATTGGCTGACCACTGCAGAGACTCTTTATACTGGCCAAGACAGATTTAAATTTATATAAAAAAAATGTACTGACACCTAATGTTGTACATTCAGTTGAATTCACCAGGTAGAAAATGATTAAACAGCTTCATAAACTGATCGTATTTCTGTCCAACCTTGTGCTGGTGGAGGCCGTAGGCCAGGACAGCCCCTGTACCAGCCAGCAGACCTGCCAGCCCATGGATCCAGCTGGAACCATGGGAGTTCTGGTATGTTCTCTGGTCATCACCGCCATCACCACGGCCGCCGCTGCTGCTGCTGCTCCAGAGACGAGCTGCACACACAGCAGGCATTAGCAGGTGCCTGAAAAAGGCAAAACAGTTGAATGTAATTTTAGGAAACAACTAAGAAGAAGGTCCAGTCATTCCACCTGTCATACATTGAAATTCAAAATAATGACAGACATTATTTCTTTGACCTTTTTGACGATGCTTCTCACAACAGGTTCAACTGTTTCTTTTTATTACACACATCATTAGTTTGGACTGCAGTCATCTGGTGCTCCCCTATGGTGAGTTAGTGTTTCCTTCCATTAGTTATAAAGTGTATGAGTCTGTCTGTGATCACATGGTGTCACAGTCTGATGTTGACATAAGGGATAAGAGCCGTTGATTTTTTTAGTACCTTTACAAATTGTGTTGAATGACTAATAAAATAGATTAAGTTTTAGTGACTTTTTTTGCGGATCCGTCCTTACACTGAACATCAGATAACCCCGTGGTGATAGTTTTATCCGTTCTTGTACCTGTGACAGTTTGAAGGAGCAGCTCCAGTCAGGCTGAGACAGCGTCTGAGAAGCAGCATGGCAATGAATGAAGGTTCTGAAAATAAGAAATACGGCATTATTTCACAGTGGGACAGCCACAGACTGTTAACTGGAAAAGACTTCTTGAGGGGAAAAAAGACACAGCAGAATCACAGTAGTAAACTCCCGGCCTGTGGGCCACTTCTGGCCTGCGATCCCCCCAAATCCCCCACAACGTTATGTCAATAAGTATTTAATTTCTATTTTTTTGTGTGTGTTAACTTATTTATTGTAAATGCATTGAGGGAAAGAACGTAAAAGTATCGAATGTTTTCTCGCTCGTTGACGTCACAGCTAAGAGCAAACAGCGCCCTCTTTGTAGAATTTCTATTGCAATGATTTCACATCTAAAAGTAAATAAAGCCGTAGTTCTGCAGGTTCCAAAAACCCTTGGGACAAGGGTGTGCTTTTCAGGAAAAGTGATCCTGTTTATAACGCTGAGCTGTTGAACACTACGACCTCCTGCTCTGACCAACCAGCTGAGGGGGAGGGACCAGGGCTGAGTTGAGCTGCATCACCCTCTTTTTACCAACATGGTGTTACACTAGTCAACACAGATGGATCATTCACCACCAAATTAGAAATAAAAACTATTAATATTCATTAGAAGATAAGATAAAAAACAAGATTTAAGCGCCTTTACAGTCAACTGAACTTAAATGATAAAGTTGGAAATTATTAATTTTGAAAAACATACTTTAATAAACTTTAATCTATTAATGGTCAATCATTAACTTTTTACAAATGGGAACAGGAAAAAAAGACCAAACTAAAAATATGCGTAGAATAAACTGACCAATAGATCCGCCCTGATTTATTTTTTCTCCCAAAGGTCATAATGTTTTTATTACCAGAAGCTGAGTCCTTACCACCTGACACTCTTGACATTTTTATATATTTTTTTTTTTTGTGGCTGCTGCCATAACTGTGAGGGCGTTGAGCAACATTTTTTTGGGTGTGCGTCATTAACTCAAAGCCAGTTGTCAAGCTGCAAGTAAATGAAACAAGCTCTTTTCCTGCAGATGTATGTAGAGCATAGATTAAAACTGCATGAGATTGTTAAAATAAACTGTTAAATTCAACCGACTCTTTCCTGGTTGGTGCAGAGGCTGAGGTCAAGAAACAGTTAGAATCCTGGGCTGTTTCAGTTTAAATCCTTCGTCAGCAGAGGCTGAGGTCAAGAAGCAGTTAGAATCCTGGGCTGTTTCAGTTTTTAGCGCCGACTTTGTTTGTTTATAGTCACTTTCATTATTTAAGGAGGGGTGGAGACCGGAGGTCAAGTCTAACGCACATGTTATCTCAGGAAGCACACATCGAACTGTTCACTTGATTAATCACCACTTTTTTGCAGCTCTAATTATTAGGAGATAAATAGGACTTCTCGAGGTAATTTTCTAAAGAGTGCTTTTTTTTGTTTTTAACTTTCAGTAAAGATCAAGGCACAGTGTAAATTTCTCATTTCTCATCAGTAATATCTTCTAAGTAAAATATTTCGATACGATTAAAAAAAACATTTATACAAGTTTTTTTTAGAGAAATGACTATCATCTCAACAAAAATCACATGAGGAGGATGCAGTGCCGTAAACGTGTCTTCATATTTTGCTACGTTTTGTTTTTCGTCCGATTCACCAGAAACATGGATGAAGTTAGATAACATCATAATCGGTGTCAACGTTACCATCCTGGGGTAAATTAGCTAACACCCCAGTTAGCGGAGCCTTCGTGTGACCTCACGTTTCCCCCTCACTCTCTCCGTCATGTTCATCAACGGGAGCGATTTACCGTACACTCCCTGTTTCTAGGTCTAAACGGCAGAAAAGTCACTTACTTCAGCCGGTCTCCCTCAGTCTGTGTGGAACCACACTTCTTATCCCGGACCAACACAAGCACCCCGGACTGTACAGTATAAACGGCAGCCGTGGCAGTAGCAGCAGTTGCTGTTTTCTTTTACGTAGCACAGCGATGACGCGTTCATTGACCGCGAGGCGTTCAAGTCTACCTCCGAACGATCGGAGTCACTGTTCATTAAATGTTGTTTACTCTGTCTTTGACGACTTCGGCCAGTGATGTCCTCCGAGTTAACACGGAGTGTTTGGAAAATTTCTTCACTCAGTATTAAGTTCTAGGAAAACACACAAAAGAACGTGTTGTTTGTCCTGTGGACTAATGTAAACATAGGCTAACGTACACTTACAACATAGTGACGTGTTATGCTCCTCATGTTTCCAGAAAAAAGTTTAGTGTGACATACTTATACACCAGAGCAACACAAACTACTAAAAAAACAAAACAAACAAAAAACGTCTTTTTGACCACTGAATACATTTAGCCACAATAAACAGCTATAATTGAGTTATAAATATACTTTGCAAGAAATTATATGATTGATTACACCTGACCAGGAAGGATTTTCTTTCTTTTTATGGGGTTTCCAGAAGGAAACTGGTGACTTTATTAGCAGTATTACGTAATGAACAAATAGAGAACAAGATACAGTCTCCACAGGTTTAAATTTAAATGTTTTATAAATTAATAAAATGTTAATAACCGTGTTGTAATGCATAGGTATCCAACAATAAATGGATGAGTTTCTTCAGCTCCTTTTTTAAGGATCACCAACTATACAGCAGATACAGTTTGTTTTAGGATGACATGAAGAAGCGCTCACTGTGAAGAATCATTAACCATGTACCTCTGTCCTTTAGTCTGGTTAATCTTTTAGATTGATCGTTCTTTCACGCAATATAGTTTGAGGCACAGGAGCTCAACCGCTGTTTAAACTCTTATCTTTATGAGTTGTCTGACTTTAACCACTGAAAATATTCCACATATAGTCAAAGGACTGTTTTAGATCACCTCACACTCGTCATTGATCCTTCTCTATTGTTTTCGCAATAGAAATTTTGGATAAGGGTCAAAGGCCAAAGGAACAAATCAGTCAGAAAAAAACAATGTCCTATTATTTTCTTGGCATTTTTAGCATGAATGACTCAGTCTGATCCATTGCAGTAGGTTGGTTGTTTTGTGTACAAAAAAGACACAGTATTTACAAGTTCAGTATTTTAAGAAATGTTTACTGCAGGATTTAAATACAATATTCTTAAAAATGTGAAAAACACAACTCTATTCCGGAACTATCTACACAACATAGATTTGACCAAAAACATTTACAAACATTAGCCTTCAACGTATTCTTCCCAAAACAACATGGTTGTCATCAGTGCGGTGTTGGTTTTAAGAACAACTTCAGTTGTTAGTAGTTGCACCACACAGAACGACCGGCTGGTCCTCTCCCTCAGTATGTATGCGTTTGTGAGCTTGAATGCGGACGTTCACTGCTGTGTCATCTTGGCCGCTTCAGCTTTTATTAATGAGATGAGTTCCAAGTTGATGAGAAAAACAAAGCGAAGACCTGCGATCTGAAGACACACAGTGTGGTTTGTTAGCATCCTGTTTTAGCCCCAAACTACAGCACTTTAAAAAAAGTTTCATATTCACCTCTACCACTGAGTTATTATTGAGTTTCCACTTGTTTCCAGACAGGACTGGTCTGCCATCTATGTAAATGGGCCGTCTGCCCTCGTTGGCAATGAAAAAGTCTCCGTTATTCTTTAATTTGATGATTCCTGTGAACACAAAGAATACCTCCAAAACCTTTAATAAATGTTATGGTTTAAAAAAAAGCATTTTTTTAAAAAAATATGTTCAATATTTGTCTTTGAGTTATGGTTTAAAAAAAGCATTTTTTTAAAAAATATGTTCAATATTTGTCTTTGAATAATATTTACTGAACAAACTATAATGTATGTTCTACCTGATCTAAGAGGACACTAGTAAAAAACCTTATTTGTTGAATTACTTACACTTTATTTTTAGTGACCTAAGAAAATTATAGTGTAACAGCCTGAATGTATTTTAAACTAAACTCACCTTGTTTTCTTGAAATTTTCCATGCGGGTCCCTCCAGTGAAAGATCAACATCTATCTGTTTGTCCTTGGTTGCCCTTCCTAACGTAATCTGTGTGAATGAAAATACAAAATCTCAAATAGTGAGTTATTTAGAATGATAAAGTTTACACATGTTCCCAGGCCACTGAGTACACATGGTCCAACATCGACCTTTAATTTGACTCTCCTCGACAGCGGATACTCACTTCTCGTGATCTCATCAGATAGCGAACCATTCGTCCTCGGAGTGCTGCCAGTGTTTGGTTGTCAAAGTCGGGCATGCTCATGCCTGAAGTCAGAGAAACAAGGCAACACAGCAGAATTTTAGAAATCACTTGAACAATATCTTGAAAAGACTGAGCCTGGAGCAGTCAGCATTTTTGGTGCTTGACAAGTGTAATGTAACGCACCTGTGATGCTGTCAACAAGAACCTGCCACCGAGGCAACTCCTGCTCTAACTGTCTGATCTCCTTTTTCTGGTGACGATCAGAAATCATCAACTCTGGTAAAGCAGAACAATTTATGAACATATCACTGTGAGATAGTATGATCTGTACTCTAACTCCACTGAGACTTCACTTATGTCTGTTTGTGAACAGATGAACCACGTAGGACTATATTTTAAACTTGCAAGATAAATAAGTTAATAAGATGTACTGATGTTACTGATTGCTTACCGTGTTCTAAAACCTCATCCCGGCTTTCTCTGTGTGAGAAAAATAATCAGATCAAAATACAAGCAAAAAGATAGTAAGCAGAACATTTTGACCTGAATTTAGAAAAAAATCAGACTTTTTGAGACAACAGATCTGGCCTATTTCTAAAAAAAATGTGTGGGGAAAAGTTGCACAATACAAAGTTCCTGCAGTTCCTCATATTTGGTGACCTCTTCTGGTCAACTTGAACCATTGCAGCCGCCTGAAATTGCTTCGAACCACTGTCACTTTTTAGGTGAACCTCTTGTACGTTCACCTGATATTGTCATCTATTGTTATTCAATTTTTATCGTAAAACTACGACTCATCATCCAACATATGTACAGGCAATGACAAAAAATACAACCTCCTTTTGTTAAACAGATAAAATGTGAAAGACTCTTACTTTAACTTCACATCATCCACCATCTGCTCAGCATCAGAAAAGTTTAGAACCTGGTCACCTTTAGGAAGAGGCTGCACTGCAACACACAATCAACAAAACACTTGAACGCCATTGAAATGTTTTAGCTCAAAAATAACAGAATTCCCTAACAGTATTTCACTTTCAGGCAAAGACAATAACTGTAGTTTATTCTCCACCTATTAATAGATTCTTGAAGAAGTTACTTTGAAGAAGAAACTACAACTACTTAGCAAGATAATGCAGTATCTGTCATGTACCATGTCTGTCAGTTAGGCACCTGTAGTAAACCAAACAAAATACAACCCTCAAATGGAAGAATTAAACTTTACAGGCAGTTAAACTCACCACTCTGATCGTCCAAAAGGTAATACTGCTTTAGTAGCTGCCAGTGCACCAGTAGGCTCTTGGCGGAACGTGATGGATGAAAGACACCAGGATGTTTGCTCAGCATCTCTTGGAACACGTCCAGTTTGGGCTGACTGGTCTGTCCAATGGCAAATGTGTCATAAGAATGTTATTAAGTGCAATGTTATGGGCTGGTTAAATGTGTTGTAGTATAGCTAATTTACATACTGAACCAATCTTGGCCAGTAGTGCCTCCTCGGTCTGATTGAAGAGGGATTTGCTTTGAATTGCTGCAATGGCCTCTGGGTGAAGCTGCCGCATAGCCTGCCATGCAAGCCTAAGAGCACATAAGACACAGATCAGGACATCATAAAAAAAGAGGGAGTCAAAATGTGGCAAAGATTAAAAAAATGTCCGGCTCTTACTTTGAGATGACAGGGTCATACAGCAGGGCATACCATCTCTCTTTAATGTCACGTAAAGTGAAACGGGAGCTAAACTTCACCCCCAGATGAACACAGGTTAGATCTGTGGTCTGGAGAAAGATGCAGCGTACATAATAAAGGGATTTGACTTTTAATAATAAAATTGAATGATTAATAAGTATAACAAGTAAGTTGTATGTTTTTCCAGATCTAACCTGTAGCACAGCATTTATTAGCAGCAGATCATCTGTGGGCTTCCATCTTCCCAGGTCTTTAGTAATATGCAGCGGTTGCTTGCTTTTTTTGACTCTTTTGGTGATAGGTGCAGGGTTTATTACCATAGCAATAGGTGGCGTGAGAGTAGTTCCTGACTTGGCAATCTGGTAGATGGATAAAAATAAAAAAAGTCACACCCAGGTAGGTTGTATAGCCTTCATTTTTTCCCCACATGGGAAATATGAACGTAAAGGTCAAACATACCTTTTTTTTCTCACCAGACGATAGTTCACTTCCTGAACACCGAACAGGCTCCATGACAGGAGGGCCTTTAACTCTAGTAGATGATTTGACAAGACTGCTTTCCACAAGCTCATCGTCAAACTTCTTCCTCTTTATTGACCTGAGAAAACATTTTAACAATGCATGTATAATGTGAATACTCATTTGTTTACATAGTATGGTGAGCAGAGCATGTGAGCAGGGATGGTATGTAGAATGTAAGATGGAGTTTTATTCAAGTGTGCTGATTGTGCTGTGTTGATCTCCAGCTTGCACTGTGTGTCTGATGCATGTCCATGCTCACAGTTATTACAATTATGGGGTGGAATTTCAGCCGAACACTAAAATGCAACCTATTGAGATCTGTAGAAGGCAAAAGTTTTGTAAAGAATTCCAGCTGGGAAAATTTCAAACCTGGAGGAACTTCTGCGTTTGGGGACACCACTGCTGCCAAATGCTTGTGTTGCTGTCCTTTTTACATCTTTTACTCCAAGTGATTCCTCATCCTCTGACCGACTCTGAGCACCAGCGACTGCCATGGATGCACCAACCACAGGGTCACCTGCCTGCATCTGTTTAGATATAACATGACAGGCATCAGGGAACATTTTTGACTACAATTAAATATTATAACAAAACTTTAACATGATGTACAGTTACATGTGATCCCTGCTCCAAATAGCAAGCCATTGCAATGAGATACAGAAGAGGGGGGGTACAGCTAGTAAACATTATTTGACCAAGCCATATAGTTAAAGCACACAGTCAGTTTGGAAGTGGAGAAAATTCTGAAATAATAACTCGGATTTATACATAACTCTCAATAAGCCATGTATAAAATAAAATAAAATTTAAAAGCAGGCAAACACAATTACTCGCGGCCTTTGTTTACGTCTAACGCTAGCCACAGTTATGGCGTCAGTTACCAATATTAACTGCGATATAAACAGCAGGCGTAACGGGCATTTAACAGTGAATCCGCCGAAACACTACTGGGCTGCAGTAGTGAGTTATAAGTACAAAATTTTGAATGACTATAAATCATTTCGGTTGTGTTCACCAGTTAGCAGTAGCCTAGCTATTACAGCGCTCAGACAACCTGCCAAGATAACCCGTTAGCAAGCTAAAGCTAAGACCAAACGGTTTAATTGACTGACCTTTTTTCTTGTTGTTATATACACGTGTTCCTTTCCAAACTGTTAACCATAGACTGTAGTCTAATCGTGCTTTTAACATGTATAGATGTGTGTACCGACTGGCTAGTTGCAGTTAACAAACGGATATTAGCATTAGCATGACTGCTGTTTTTTTTTCTTTTTTGCTGCGATGTTTGATATGATATTCAGCGCCCCCTGTTGGACTGGAGTTTATCTGACACCACGTTGTGACATTAGATCCACATTAATTGCGCTGATTATTTGTGTGTTTATCGTTTGATTTGATTTATCTATCACATATTTTAAAAATAATTGTGTAGTGTGTGTATGTAAACCACTAATTTCTCTTCAGTGAGACTCGTACAGGAAACAAATCAAGCCAACCTGTGACATTGTCACTCTGGTATTGCGGTCATTCAAATTATTCAAACAATCAGCGTTACTTTTTAAGCACTTTCCTAATGCTGACAATCAGATGAATGGTTACAATTTAAAATAATAGGATTCGTTCCCAATAAGATACAGTAAATGTCATGGAAACTCAGTCAGCAGAGATTAACTGAGATAAACCTTATTTAGAAAACGTTTAAGGTAATGTCACTTAAAGCAAAAGGCATGTTATAAAATTCTATACCCTAAACCCCTGTGAAACACTACAAGAAAAATCCTCTGGTTATAATATACTTACACTTAATCACCACTTAAATCCACAAGATGCTGATTTAAAAAGGATTTACATCTCTTGTGGTAAGGCTAAAATATCAACTTTAGTTTTATGTTACTACAAGTCAAAATCATTATGCCTAAAGTAAACATTAAAGTAAATTAAGTAACTGTGGTAATGAAAAATGTATCTTAACTTTCTTGTAACACCAAAAATATATTTTATAAGTTTTCTTCTGTCGCTAACAGAATACTATTTAAAACTGCAAAACCAAAAAATGTGCTGCAAATACCACAAAATATCTATAGAGATACAAAGCTGCTCAATTTACATATTTTGCATCTAAACTGAATAGTATATTAAAAAAAGAAAAAAAGAAATGACCTTCAGCTGCTGCACCCCAGCTTAAACTTTGTCCACATGTCACACAGGAACTTTGACACTCAGCTTCTTAGAAATGCCTGTTGCCTACGTGCCAAATGGTTGTTTCGATTGTGTTAACACCAAAACTAATGTGTTGGCCAGTAATGACTCTTAAGATCCAATGATTGACGTTATATATACTGTGTATATATATATATAGTCACCGTTACCAGAACTTGTCTGATTTATTAAACATTTTTTATTAAATCATAGATTTTTTTAGTTTTAGTTGTCATACACATCCACAAGAGGCGCTACAGATTTTAAGTGGTTTAAGGGTTAAGTGCACAGAACAGGTGTCATGTCAACCATACAATAAACATATATTACAGATGTCACAAACTGGGGTTAAATAAAACCATCAAACATGCTCAATTCAAGGTCATTTTACTGACATTTTCGATAAAAGTTTCTACATGTGTTAAATTAAAATAAATACAAAAGCTGGACAGGTTTAAAAATATTCAGTACATCACCTACAGCTCTAAATGTAAAGAGTAAAAGCAGATACTAGATATTAGGTCGTGTCTTCAGCACAGAGCATTGAATCATGGCATTACAATAGGGTTTCAAAGAAAATACAGACAAGTACAAAGCCTGAGTGCAGAGAAGCTTACTTTTGAGATTTCAGACATAATATTTGTTCCAAAAAAATGGAATCAGTTCAAGAGCTGCCGTCGTATTGAAAGGAATCACACACTATGAGATTGTCATGCACCTGTGATCATCACACTCAACTTTATAATCAGTAGTCAATCTTTATAGTAGCCTTAACAGGAAAACACCTCTATATTTCACCAAAATTGAACAACAACAGAACAGAAAAAACATTATTATTATTATTATTATGATTACACATATTTAGAAATGGATATCACAGAAAATCTGAGCTCTTGATCCAACATAAGAAGGGGATTCTGTAAAAAAAAGCTTCACATACTGATACACTGTACATATTGCATTACATTCGATGAAGTGCAGCATTGACTTGCTTGTGGCCTCCGTCCAAATGCATAAGTGCTAATGGTGATTTCATTAAAAGAGGACGTACAGTGTGACGTTTGGAGTAACAACATGTTCTCATGAAAAGCTGTAGCGGTGTGTCATCACACACGGTCGTCTCTCTGCTCGTTCGCCTGTACGGTGGAAGTAGAGACAAAAAAATAAAAGCGCTTTGGTCTCAGTTGTGCTGGAGGGTGAAGGTCTACGCTGATGATTAGCCACTGTCTACAGCAGACTCCAGGGAACCTGTGATAACACGGTCTGTGTGCTGCCCCGACACTCATGTTCAGATTCATGTTACTGTTCAGCTACGTGCAGTAGGTCATCGCTCCATAAACTGGAGGCTAATGACATTTTCAGGGACCAGAAGTGTTCGTGTCATGGGCTTCACAGAAACTCCTTCTGGATCAGGCTTCACCTCAAACTCTATCAGGATCTAATGAGAGCAGAAACAGAGAAGAGATCCAACATTGTTAGTTTGTGTATGAAGGATTGTAATATTAAAAAATAGAAATAATTAACGTGTGTTCCATTTATATTTATTGTATTAAATGTCTGTAATCAAGCTGACTAGCCAACTCACCCTGGCGATGGCAAGATACAGCTCCAGCTCGGCGATCCTCCGACCTATGCAGCTGCGTTTTCCCACCCCGAACGGCACTGAGGCGTACGGGTGATGAGTCTGGTCCTTGTTCAACCAGCGGTGAGGCTGGAATTCATCTGGATTCGTGAACACCGCAGGGTCACGCGATGTTGCAAAGTGGCAGAGCGTTATCAGAGTCTGGATGGGAAGAGTTCAGAGATAGATGTGGGTAATACTGAAAGGCAAAATAGTAATATTTAGTTTATGTACAACGTACGGCCCTCGCCCATTTACTCACATTTTTTGGAAGGAGGTAACCTCCCACTGAGATTTCTTTCTCTGTATTCACCCTGGCATTTGCAGGAATGACAGGATACAACCTGAAAAATCAAATCATTCCTTAGTCCTGCAGAAAAAAACAAACAAAAATGTTTTTTTCACTCAGTAGCAGGGAGCTCTTGATGTGTACCTGAGAACTTCTTTGACGACGGCTTTCAGCAGAGGCATGTGGGCCACATCTGCTGCCTCGGCCACCCTGCGACCCTGCAGTACCGCCAACACTTCACTGCGGAGTGAGGCCTGGACCTCAGGGTGACGGGACAGCTCGTACAAGGACCAGGACAACGTGCTGGAGATCTGAAATGGCAGGGTGGAAATGTTCAGAGAACGGATGTAGGACATATAATAAAGTAGAAGCTGAAGGACTCGTTCTCACTGTGTCCACTCCTGCAAGCAGCAGCTCGGTGACGTTGCTGTAGACAGTTTTAATGGGCATGCTGGTCTGGGACAGGTAGTAGGTGAGGTAGCGCCCCTCCACCTTCTCTCCACGGGCGAGTTTCTCCGCTTCAGTTTTCAGCCGCTGGTCAATGTGACCTTTTGCTGCAGGAACAGAAATCAATGACCGTTATTACAGCGCGAACAATTTTGTAGCACGTTGTATTCCACTTCTTGTTATGTAAATAATCATTTTTAAAAAATCATCATTAAATCTCAAACCAGAAGAGAAACCGTACCAAATGTGACCTACCAAATTCAAACATGAAGTCCCAGCACTGGCAGAAGACGCTCCAGGGTTTAGGGAGGAGCCGGTGCAGCCAGCTGGGCATGGCCATTGTGAGCAGCGTCATCACAAACATGGTGTTGATGGACTGAATGAAACGTTCCGTCTCCTCAGGAACCACCTGATCCAGGCAACCGATTCTGGATTCAAACAACACAGAGGAAATGCCTGTAGGAAAACACAGAACAAACCCTTGATTACCATGTGCTTTAATGTCATCGGGTTGAGATCTTTAACAAAACACGTGGTGGATTTTGTGTCTGTCAAGTTGTTATGGCAGAGAGAATGCTGTGGAGGCGCTATTTCTGCAGAGCAAGCTTAGATACAAATGAAAGAAAGACATTCTTTGGAAGAAGAGTTTTAGGGGACGCAGTAATGTATATGTGTGTGTGTGTGTGTGTGTGTGTGAGAGAGCGTACCACATTTCAAACTTGGAAAAAACAACCTCCCAGCTGCCAATACAGTTTAATGAATTATAATTACTGTGACCCTCCGACATCAGATGTTTCATCAGGCGGCTGCTGATTCACAGCCACTACGTCCCAGATGTTAGCATGACTAGTGATTAATGTCTTAATGTGGTGCATCCAGGACTCATGTGCGGCTGTTACATTAATTGGCAGGAGGCAAAACCAGATGTTGTTTTTCCATCAACTCCATCTTTAATAATGTTGATATTAAAGACTGTACATCGTCGTTTGAATATAAAAGTTTGGCTTTATAGATGTGTATTGACTGGACTCCACCTATTATTCTATATTATTATTTATTTATCTGAGTAAAGCCCCATTTTGTGTCTCGCCTCATGCCAGTGACACTGGTCACTGTTTACATGGTGTGTTGCGTCCCGTTGCGTTCCTTACCCTCAAGGCCAAAGCGGTAAAACTCGCTGGCGATATCAGTGACGAGGCCCTGCGGGTTTCTGCTGAAGCGCAGTTTGGCAATGAGGTCACTGACCACGCTGTTGAGGGTTTCGTCATAAACCTCCACCGCCTTCGGCCGCAGCATGTGCTTCCCCAGAAGACTTCTTACCGTCTGCCACTCCTCCCCCTCGCTGAGAACACACATTCAAGAATGACATGATTTTTTTTATCTTTTAAATTGCACATTTTTATCACTTAATGGTTTTAAAAAGGTGCAGGAAATTTGCATTCACACAAAGAATACATCAATTTGTGCAAGCAATTTGTAAACATTGGTAAAGCCACAGTGAAAGAAAAGCAAGAAACCACTAGGGGGCACTCCACTGGATACACAGTACACTTCTTTGCCATTTAAGGACAACAATACAGCCAAAGTCTTCAGACACTCCATTGAATTCAATTGACATTGAATCCTGATTTTATTGACATTTTACCCAATGTCCCTCCGTCACTGAAATTAGGGTGTGTACAATAATAAAACTCTCAGTTATATTTTGTCATGAGATGCAATTGTCATTTATTAGTGTTCAGAGATAAAGGAAATACTAGTGGTGAAGATTATGGAGGAGTGACAGGATGATTTTTTTTTTTATAAACTGCAGGCTAGGGAGATAAACCGACCACAACATTCCTACATACTGTACCTTTAACACAACTAAAGGACAAAAAAAAAGGAATTAAGCAAGAATCACTCACGATGTCAAGAGTCCATAGTGATGTCCCCTGAGTTTCCTGTAGTCCTTCCAGGACGAGAGGTCGGAGCGCATGGGGTGTTGGCCCTCCTGCCTCAGTACCTGCTCGATCAGCACTGGATCGGCCACGTGAACAGTCAGGATGGGGCCGAAGCTGGCCTTCCACATGGGACCGTAGCGGTTCACGCCTTCCAACTGTGACACGAGACAAGAAAAGTCAGAGTTTGACAGAACCCTGCAGGCTCCAAGATGACCAGCAATCATTGTTTTGACCTGTTAGAATCAAAGACTGGTTGACATCTAATCTCTGAATATGTAGAGAAAAAGCAATTGTCTGAATAATTATAAATCAAACATATTTCACTTGAGATTTATAATTGGATCTTTTCTAATTTCACAGAAAATACAGTTTCACCCTGTGAGGTCTTTCTGATGTAGTTTGCGCTGTTCACCTGAGTTATGTTTGAACAAGTCTGTGTGTGACATCACATCGAGTCTGAAAGTTAATTATCTCACAGCATGGAAAATGAAATGGAAACAAGAATTGGATTTTTTTTTTAGTGAAGCAGAAAACATTTCTTTCTGACTGGTGAAGCAGACGTCTGCCTATGTATACACACTGTTTGGTGAGTGATGGGAGCAGAGGAGATATTTACATATTTATAAGTAATTGAATTCAATTGGAATTTGATCAGGGCTTCAACTGGCCCCGTTAATCAAGTTCATCAGCAAAGCTTTGGTTTAGACAGGGGTTTTTTTCCCTCCCTTCTTTCTTCAAACATAGATAACATCTTTGAAATGTTGTTAATGTGCAAAGTATTAACATGTCAAAGGTGTTATCTGTTCGATATATGTCATAGAAATATATCCCTGTGGTATATAAAAGATGCACAACAACATTTGAATCTTCCTTTCCAGACTTTAAAGTAGCAAAAATAAAAGCACAACAACATTTGAATTTTCCTTTCCAGACTTTAAAGTAGCAAAAACTTTTTTTTATTTTATTTTTGAAATCCTTACAGGCAAAAAAAGGCACTAACAAAGACATGGTTCTATGACGTTGAGTTTGTTCAATCCACCTGGTTTGTGCACTTTTGTTATGTTGATCACTGATGTTTAACATGCACAGCCTGATGCAGTTTGTCGGTTCCACCTTGAAGAAAGTCCCTCAACCTGAGCCACTTTACCTGTAAGTCGTGCAGCCTCGACAGCCCCCGTTTAGCGAACAGGTCCCAGGCAAAGCTGCCCACGGACGGTCCAGGCATGTCCTGCAGGGTCTTCAGCCCGGGCAGCTTGTGACCGTGCGCGGTGGACGCTGCGCCCTCGGCACATCTCTCCATCCACTTGAGCACAGGGGCGGCGCTGCGGCCGGACACTCTCTGAGCTTGCTGCAGCATCCTTCTTGCAAAGGTCATGGAGCGGTGGCCGGGCGCGGCGTCTTTGGAGGTCGTGGCTCATTTTGATTTCTCCGACTGGAGGTTGTATTTATAACGCGCGACCTGCTGCCCAAACCTGCGGAGATAAAGCCGTATATTTTCCCATTCTGGGGCCAATCATGGGAGTAATTCTTCGTAGGCTCCTCCCCTCGCGGATGAGACTGAGAGGGCGTGCCCCGCGAGAGAGGTGTGTCCAATCAGAGGCCCGCGCTGAGACCATCCCAGAGACGGGACACGTGTAGGTCCTGAATTAAAGAAAAGAATCTATAGGATCAGCGCAGCTTTATCTCTGCACCTGTGAAGCCCTTTGCTCTGTGACAGCCCCGCAGCTGACACACACACACACACACACACACACACACACAGAGAGTGGTCACGCACTTGGGTATGTAACGTCTTGTGTACTTAAACGTCTCAGCATTAAGGCCAGTGTTATTATAGATCTTCTTTATCTCACAGGGGGAAAAAAGCAGGTCTGTTTGACAGAGATAAAAAAAAAAAAAAACGGCTGGAGGTTAGATTCTCCCCAAACAGAAGCTCTTGTCTGAAAGTTGCCAGTTTGATTCCTGGTGGGAACTATTTGTTGTGCCTGTGTTTGGACTTTGCCTGTTCTTTCACTGTGTGCATGGATTTTCTCCAACATTAAACACAACGTAATAATTACTTTCCTATATATGAAAGAGAAAGGAAGAAGTAGTTATAAATACTTATTACTTTTTAATACTTGTAGTTTTACCAAGACAAAAAAAAAGGTCTTGTGTGAAAAACTCGCGGCCCGTACGAACATTAAACTTTGATATCGAGCAGGGCCACGAGTTTGCATGCGCAGGCTGCAAATGACCTGTGGGCCACGAGTTTGAGACCCCTGTTCTAAAGTGACCGTAGATATGAGTTTGAGTATGAATGGTTGTTTGTCTCCATACAGTTTGTGGTGGACTGTACACACTGAAGAACGTAGTTTCCTTTTTTTTATTTTTAGGATGCCTTTTATCAGGGGTTTGCCAGAATACGAGTCTAAATAGTTTCCACGCCGGATGCCCTTCCAAATGCCGTGCCAAATGGGTGGGTTTCCAACCCGAAACCTTTGCATAGCACAGGGAATCTTATGACTATTTATACAGTACAGTCTAGTCTTTCCCCACCACAGTAGATCATGAAGTAGTCCAATCCCCAGCAGAGATTTCTCACCTTTTTTTTTTACTACTAAGGATTTCTTTTTTTGTTTTGCACGTACCATTTACACGCTGCACGGAACCTGAATCTGCCAACATCTGTGTGCACCAGCAGACTGGCCCCGTGTTAAATGTACAGACACTATAGTCTAAAATAAGAACTGTGATGTGAGAAAATAAACTGGAAAAGAAGAATCAGTGTCGTTAGCAGGGCAGCTGCGGTTACAGTAGAACCAGATCTTTTGCTGACTTAGTGAGTTTCAGAGCGAGAGAGAAAATCCTGACCTGATTTGAATTGGACTGGAAGCGGTCCAAAGCTCCGTGTGTGGACTGTGAAGTAACAAGCCCAGGGCTGTACTCAGAATCTGCTCTGACATTTGCTCCCACTTTTCAAATATAGCCCACCGGAAATCTTAGAGCTGCCAGTAACAGAGAAACGGAGGATTAAGTGGCAACGGTGGAGGCCCCAGGAGAAGGCCCCTGCACTGCAGCACAATCAGTCTGCAGCGCCTCGATGGAACTATGGATTTACACTTATACTCTATATTTTATTTATCTTTAAAATGTAGTTAAACACATTTACGGCTTTGGTTGTGATGTGTAAAGGACATTTGAAATAGGTTTATTTTTGTGATTTTTTTTAACCAATGACAACAGTACAGCAATATAAACTACACAGCAAATATATTTTAAGTCATGACATGCACAACTGCATGGAGCAAATTTAAAATAAAACACCATGTCACTATGTTCAAATAACTGTAAACTAGTTTTAATAACGACAAATCTGTGAAACAGTGGTCGGTGCTCTTGCCTTACCTGTGACCTGCTGAATGTGGTTTAAAAATCTGAATGGACTTTTAAGTTTAACAGACTTAGTGCTTTATTTAAGTGTGAAATGCTGTGTTTCTCTATATTTGACCCCGTAGTTGATTGATGCGTGTGGCCCCTGCCCCCTGACCCACATGACTACTGTGATTATCTCTAACTCCCTGCCCGACACTGAGAAAAAAAAATAGGATTAAGTGATAGAATAAATTAAATTTAAATCACAGATTAAACAGATTATTAATTTGATTATCTGCAGGCGGTAAAATGATCTCGATGTGAATAACAAACAACATATTTACCTCTCGCTTCAGTAAGCCCTTCTAGATGGAAAGGAATAATAATAATGCCTGTTGTTGATGGGTGGACTGTGGTGTGATTGACAGCTTGGTGACAGTTGGTAACACACAGCTTTGACGAGTTGTTTTTGTCCTTTATCTTTTGTCCTCCTGTTGTGATGTTTTGTTTTTGCCTCCCTCCATATTTATCTTTTGTCCTCCTGTTGTGATGTTGTGTCTTCCGCAGACAGGAAGTGATTTTTTGACTGACGGATTGTCCTAACGGACTGACTTCTGTGGTGGTACCGGTACTGGTCCGCAGCCCAGTGGTTGGGGACCTTTTTTTCTGGTGACCCATATTTTAAAAGTCACAAACCTTCACGACCCAAGTCAATAGACATTATTCGTAAACTCCTGGGAAACATGACGTGAGACAACCAAAAAAAAAAATCTCGACCCACCTGAGGGTCGCGACCCAGTCTTTGGGAAACAATGGTTTACAGCATCAGTTTTACATCTTTTCTAATAGAAAATGTCATAATGTAATGAAACAGTTCAAATAAATCACAAAAAAACAACCCATAATTAATTGACATTAAGTTTCCTGAATGGTCTTACACATGTTTGAATGAGCCTCTGATTTATCATTAGTATAAACACTGACTCAATTTTTGATGTAGACGTGAGGCCTTTATTTACCCTCTGGGTCTTATACTGTGTTTGTTAATCTTACGGTAATCCCTGTGGAAATATTAACCATTGATTATTCTCTTAGCCTCCTATTACCCCAGTACTATGTCATAACCATTTAAATAAGTTATGACCACAATATGTCAGCCAAACGCTATAATCGTAAAGGTGAAAGAAATATGGCTCGGCGCCTGAAAATAAGCCCAGCGGCTGACAAAAGGCACTTCTGTAAATGACATATTGGCTTTTCTTCCTTCTACTTACAATGCAGCACGGGGCGACGGCACGGCAGTGTGTTATTTACACGGCGGTGAGGGCTGGAGTTACCCACCGGTACCAGACTGTGTGGTTCAGACGCCGTCATTAAGCGGCTGCACCGAGCATCGCTCAGTCTAACGCGGATTCTGAGAAGTTTCTTTCACAGAAGTTCTTTCATCGTTAACGTTACACATGCATCCTGTCTGATGCCAGGTCAAAGGTCATGTCCGGCACCAAACGTGACACTGTGATTCGTGAACACCCAGTGGGTGTTCATCTACTCCTTCATCTTCTCCTCCCCCCCCTTCTCTCGCCGAAGCTCTCACCGGTCTGGAAGGTACAGACTGTCAAAAA